CCGAACAGAAGCAGCAGCCCAGAAGTTTTGTTACAGTCTGGGTGCAATGTCAACTGTCCTTTTCTCTCCTTAGATCTGCTTTCCTTTGCCTCTTAGGGGAACGAGATCATCGGCCCCAAAGCTGACAACAGTTGCAGATATTGACTATGAGGCAACAGTCACTGAATGCCGCATAGATATGCGGCTCAACTAACTCAACACAGCTAGGATAGCTACTTATATATTAGGATATTTAATTTTAAGGTAATAAAATGGCGGCGAAGGTGTGGCAATTGGGGTAGGCTGGAGGCCACGTTTGTTTAAGGAAAAAATAAATCCAAAGGAAAGTGGTAGTAGTAGTATTCATCTTCACCATCAATCATCCCGTAGTAGTATAGGTGGTCCTACTTATGAAGAAGATTCCGAGAAATACTGAAATGTATTATGACAATAGACAGATACATTCCAAAGAAAGGTTAATGTATATATAATAAGAACGTTGTCATCCCTAGCTTCTACAGTGCCAAGGTGAACGTGACCGCCGAGCCCTTCCCTCCATTCTGGGACGAGGTGAAGGGACCTGACAACACTACACAGTACTCCGGCACTGACTACATGACCCTGGCGACCATTGCTGACGCTCGTAACTTCACTATCCACGCCCTGCCTACCGACAACTGGGCAGAGGTGAGGAGTCTCAGTGATTTTCTCACCCAGAGTACTATGACCCTTTAGGCACTTGCGTCCTAAATTGCATGAGTCAAGAAGGCCAGCATGAACCCCGCGGTCTTCCCTGTTGGGCACTGTTCACGCCTTAGGCTTCGCCTTGCACAGGATGCAAGGGGGTGCCCAATAAACTGAAACCATAACCATGCCCATACTACACCATGCCACACCCATAGTACACCACATCCATATCAGGCCTACACTAGACCATATTATAACCAGAGTACACCACACCGATGTCAAGCTCAGACTGCACAATTATCATACCCAAATTACACTATGCCACAACAGGCCATGCTAATAGAATACACCATGCCTCACTAATGCCAGTACACCATGCCTCACTAATGCCAATACACCATGCCTCACTAATGCCAATACACCATGCCTCACTAATGCCAATACACCATGCCTCACTAATGCCAATACACCATGCCTCACTAATGCCAATACACCATGCCAGTACACAGTAGTACACCATACTAAACGTCACATCGGTTCGAGGTGTTGTGTTGCTACAGCCTTGCACTCGGCGTACGTGAAGCGGTGCTATCTTTCTACTAAGTTCATTTAATATATTGCAAGTAACAAAGTTATTTTTGTCAAAAATGTTCTCCTTTGATTGCCGGGATTCGAACCCAAACCACCAAGTTTGGCAGTCAGTCAGCCATCCAGTGGACCATGATGGGCTAAAAGCTACCCGTCCTTATCTACCCACTTGTAGTTCAAGGCCCCACGCCCACAACTGTTGGCCTGATGGGTAAGGGCAGCTCGCCTACACACGTGTCCCAGAGATCTTATGTTGTGGGCGTGGGATCTCGAGCTGCAAGTGAGTAGATAAGGATGGGTAGCTTTTAGCCCATCATGATCCACTGGCTGGCTGCCCCGACTGCCAACCTTGGTGGTTTGGGTTCGAATCCCGGCATTCACAGATGATTTTTGTTTACCTTTATTTACCTGTCTATATTACAAGTTGTGATATCTAGTTAGTTTCACCTTCCTTTTTTTAGCATAGGTAATAATAATTGAGTCTGCTGTACATTAAGATGAGGACACCAAAGCTCTGTCATCCAGTAACATTTGGAAAGATTCACAATGACGTGACTGTCAAAACGGAAGTCAAGCTTGTTTTTAAGTTTATCATTTATTTAAGTTTACTCACCAATTTATAATATCTTCCTGGTGCTCCATAAATCCCTCTAGGGAAATCTTAGACTTTTTTTTTTGTCATACAATAGACCGCTCAGCCAATTTATTTCGAGAAAATTAGTCTCTTAGATTGTATAATTAAAAAAAATCGGAGTTATCCTCAAAAAGTTTCGGGTACCTGAACCTCAGCCAGAAAATAGGATCCTATAGAGTGTGGAGTGAAGAAATAGTCCAGCGCTCTGTAACAGCTTTTATAAATCTATGTCACCGAATGTTAACTCCGATTATCATCTTGTTGGTGGTGTATGTTTTATATTAATTGTAGTTATCTTAAATATGTTATTTATTACACGTACTATTACTTCTCATAAAAGATGAGATGCTTTATCATCCACTAATTCTAGTAATCTGTTGCTTGAAGCTGGAAAACTGACACATCAACCCTCTGATGACACCATTACAGGAAACAACAAGTAAACAGTAAGATAGTCTTCACTGAGCCAATAACACCATGCTGTTGGCAGGTTGCGGACCTTGTGGAGGAGAGAGTGTCCTTCATGGCCACAGTGTGGCACAACATGTTGCTACATCGTCTCGAGCGCTTCGACTACTCATGGGTGTACGAGTACGGGTCCCTGGACTTCAGTATGGCCCAACCGGGTATCAAACCACAGTGGCAGTCGCTCTACTACCCGCTCACCGACGTGGTGTGGGCGGCCGTCCTGCTGGCGCTGCTGCTCACCCCTGTGGTCCTGCTGCTGGTGAGGAGAGGCAATATTTTCGTTAGCAAAACAAGGGCTGGGAGCATAAGAACAACTTAGCCAAAAGATTCACAGGAATAGTCTCACATGCAGTAGATTTGTGTAGTGTCTTAGATATATGGTGTAATCATCTGTTTTCTTTAATAGTGCAGTATCTTTCTAGTACCCATCGTAGGACAGTGTTGCAAGTAATTCTGCAAGTAGATTATTAAATAACACTTATGCGAAATTTGATTGTCTTAGTTTAATCGACGATTTATGGGGTCAATTATCATGTGATCTTACGATTTGTAGTTTATATCTATATGTGGTGAAGCACTGCAAGGTTTAAGGATATAAAATTAACTCACTTGTGATCTCACTTGATGGAATGACCTCCTCCACTTCAACCAGAATGATACACTCCCGATACATTATACTGAGGAAATCGTGAAGATTCAGTATAATTCTTTCATAGATGCTCTTGATGCTGTTGCCTCTGAACATCAGAAATCCCTCGAGTCCCAAGAAAACGACATAATAGATTTTAGAGAAACTACTGAAATTGCACTTCGTAGATAACGGTTAACAAATTTATTGACAAAGCTTGGAGTACAGTTTGCCTATTCTAAGAGGGAAGAAATTTTTCTATAGAGGAATAAGCAGATCGAAGGTTTTCGATTATAGATGATCATGCACACAGGAACAAACTTTGTCTGACGGGAATTCCTGAATCATGGCAAGAAACTTGGAGTCGTGTATGGGTAGGAGGGGGGTGGGGGTGTCAAGTTGAAGGACCTACACCAGGAGAAGTTTGTTTTATGTGGAATATCTTAACTGATTAAGTTTATCACAACGACAGTAATCAGTGTTTTATGACCAAACCGGTAAAGCCTCCACATATAAACTGCAAAGGTCATGTTAATCATGGATGGTCATGAAGGTGTTTCTTTAATTTCAGATTATTCGTGTGGGTGAGCAGAGGCAGAGTGCGAACACGATACCAGCGGGCGTGGTGGTGCAGGACGTGGCAGGGATGCTGGTAGGCCAGAACCTGCCACGACGGCTGCCCAGGACCAGCTCCAGCCGTATATTGGTAGCGACGTGGCTTTTCTTCGCCGTCATCATGGGATCTGCCTACTGTGGCAATCTTACCGCCTCTCTCACGCTGCCTAAGTTCCCACCCCGAGCAGAGACGGTCGAACAGCTAGTCACTACTGCAGAAAGGTCTTGTACACCTGTCTCTGTCAAACTTCATATGGACATTACGTGCGCTATATCTATTTTACTCCAACAAACATTATTATAAATAGTGTATCCTATACCACTTTCGCACAGGATAACAATGCCACCACCAGGAGGAGAGTTCAAGAAATTTTTCCTCCAGTCAGATTCACCGATATATAAGAAACTAGGCGAACTGATGTACGTCATCCCGACAGTAGACATCGGACAACAAGAGGCCATTGAGAGGAAGTAAGTCACTGTATGTTGTTAATCAGGATGAAACTTGTCTTATGGAAGTAAAGATAAATAAGGAAGATGTTGCTGAAGAATGAAGGTGTCGCAGACACCAAACTGAGATACGTCACTGATGATTATGAGTGGTAATTAGGTGTCCATGTTTGTGTTTTGGTGAAAGTTGGTCTCACTGGCCAGACCTGGTACAGTAGAAGGCAGGAGTCCGGGTTTTCAAGATTTTTTCGTTGAATAATTTTCCCTGATTGGCGGTATGGGAACCCACTTTCTTAAGAAATAATCGTTTTGAAATGTCAAACTCGTATGTGTGATGTGCTACTCCAGGCCATCACTCACTGTGCCAGTCACTAAAACTCTAATTCTCATACCTCAAACATGTACGCTTTCCATTTAACTCCACTCCAAGTAACAGTCTGTCTCCGTTCTCTGTTTATTTTTGTCACTTTACATTTGTTCATAATTATTCACTTTTAAAATTCTCTTAAATTACATTCTTCCAAAATCATTCATTAACATTTGCACTTTTTACACTTAATTTCCCATAAAGAAATATCATATGCAGGTGTAACAGGTGCTAGTATTTTAATTTTAATATGACCTTTTTGCCATAATATTGTTTTAATATTATTTTACTTTGTCTGTGACTGTAATGTGATGAAGGCAAGCGCACTTGGAGAATCGTCGCTACCAGCAGCTCAACATAGCGAGGAAGTATACCCAGGCTGACAGGACCGCCATGTTGTATATTGGCCGTGAGAGTTTACTGACCGGTCAGGCTGGGTGGCCAATCCCGCACGATGCTCCCTACAGACCCGTCTTGGACCGCTCCCTCATGGCTATCATTGAGGTTAGTCCCTCACGCTGTAGTCGGTGGTATGGTATTTAATATTTGAATTTATTCACACCTACTGCATTAGTGAGCTGTTTACTAACATTCCTCCTTTGTAAACCTTCCTTAACCACTGTTGATACGCCTGGACTGTTTGTATTTTAAATGTAATTTTTCAACAGATGTGTATTTTTTATATAAAATTTTGGATGTCGATCGTAACTGTAGACATTATCTTAGGTAAATCATTATAATCAGTATGGTGACCCTTTTCCAGTACGGCGGCTAAAGCTAAGCGAACTATCCTAACCTACCCTTCCTAACCTGATTGAAAGTGGATACCACAACACAGCGACAGTGTAGACACAACACATTTTATACTAAACCTTCGGTCGACGAGGAGACCGCCTTAACTTACCAACTCTTTGATACCCATTCACTGCTGGGTGCACTAGTGTTTGTCCCGTGCTCAAACTAGCGACCCTTAGGACAGGAGACAAGTGCTGTATCCACTCAGTCACCACATCCCTTAACCTATCTTAACTTATTTACAATATTTTCAATGATCGTTAGGTTAGATTAGGTTAGGTTGGTAAGGTTAGGTTTGTCTTTGTTCATTTTGCGCTTTAAATAGGATTGTTCGATTAATTATCAACCCTCCCCAATAAAAAAGGAAAAATTCAAACTTTAATACACACCTTATATAGTATATAGCTCGAGGAGTAGTAACAACACTAGTTATTGGGTTAAAATCGACCACTATACTCATTTTAACAACTAGTCTATACCTTAAAACACTCGCCATTTAGAGATAGCACAGTCCGTGGTAGCCTCACGTGTCGTGTATTCAATAGGCTGGACTGTACGAGAAGTGGAACAGAGATCTGTTGTTCCAAGCTCAACTGGAGGCCCACCAGAGGCTGCAGCAGGAGGGAGCTGAAGAGACAGACTCGGACAACAAGGACAGGTCTCTCACCATCACACACCTGCAGGGGGCCTTCATGCTCCTTCTTCTGGGTCTCTGCCTCGCTGGACTCACCTTTGTCGTGGAGTTTTTCTCTGTGTTAACCTCTCCCCCCCTTAATATATAAACAGTACTAATTTAACACTACTTTTTACCTATACAGTAATTCAATATTAGCATTACTCTGCCTTACACCAGCTCCCGTAAAGTATCACCAAGTATAACTTGACCAAAACATTAGTTTTCATTAATATTTATTATTTTAATGTATTGCTAATTCACCCCCAACTGGTTTTCCCATGTATTAGTCTATTTAATAACCAACGTCAACATTAGTTTACCTTAACATTAGGTCACCCAGCATTGGTGTGCCAAAACTATCGTTTACCCCAGTATATGCCAGCAACTGTTTCCCATGGTGACCTAACCATTACTTCACCTTCACAAATCCTTCACTCCCTAACTTACTTGGCATCTTTATTTTTGTTCACAGTTAAGAATTATGATCGACTATATATAGCAAGGCAATTTCTCCTCACTACAGCACACGCGGTCACTATGATAGTGTGCAGGACACGAAGGTTAAGTAAGACATCCTGTTGGAGACAAGAGATCACAAAGGTCATAGCCTGATGTTAATAGGTTTCATTTTGTTTTTGTCAATCCATAGTTGTTATTATGTTATGTTCAGTGCAGCGGTCGTCCTCACCGGCCACATGAACAACAATTACTTCCTGCATGTTTTTCATAATTTAATTTTTCTATTTACAGTATCATTTTTCCCACCTTAAAAGACATGAATGGTTTATTTACTGTAATTTCATAGGATAATGAGATGATTCTAGGAATTTTATAGACCGTTCGAGGATTTTAGAGATCTTCCGGGATTTTATAAACAATTCAGGGGATTTTAAACTGCATTCAGGTATTTTAGAGACCATTCGGCTAATTTAGAGACCTTTCATGAGCGGTTTCCATCGTTGTTTGGAACTAAGTAGAAATATACCAACATGGTACTATGTATACTATCAAGGCGAGATATATAATATTCTAGTAAGAGAATGAAATAATGCAGAGGGAAATAAAGAACAGTAGAATATATAGATTAACTGGCCTGAGCTGGTGTGGCTGAATCTCACAAGCTCTCATAAAAATACGAAGAATACTTGATGTATCTTGGATTGTACCGTACATGAGGTAATGATATGTGAAGGTTTTTCCATTAGGCAAAGAGCCAGACCAGCCCTTTTCATTCATAAAACAGTAAATCAATCCTAATTATAACGTGATCAAAGCCTCTGCGTATCAGCTCCTGGTAAAAACTTTGTGAAAAGCTATAAAATGTTGCTTTCCTTAAGTATTTAGAAGAATTCATCATCTCTATTCTTAGGTTTCACCCTTATTGCGTTAAATCCTGAATGTAATATAATACTTATTACTGTTATTTGTTATATATGCAGCACCTCAAGTCTCACCTGGATATGAACACTGTCTACCAACTTCAGGACAGAAACAAGAGTCGCATCACTATGGTAGAGTGTTATATAAAATTACGTCATTATATAGATATTAAGTACTTATGCAAGATCTGTATAGTTTTAAGAGACTCTAATATTCCTAGTTCTGGGAACCAACTAATAAAATGAGAGAAATTATCTTATGTGGTATGAGTTAACTTCCTCTGTGTATGTTTTGAGTCTACAGGCACTTCCGCTTTGACGTCGTTCTTTATGCAAGGGATTTTCGTTGCTAGGTCGGTACACAGGACTCTCCGGCACGATGTTGACAGAATTTGATTGTTCGAAGCTTTGGAACAGCTCTATGTACTTGGTTATTGGTGAACATATCTGTGACAAGAAGAAAAAAGGATAAAAACACCTGGAAACTTTGACCGCAAAAAATAAAATAGAAGTGGGTCCTGTACGGAGGAGGCCGTAATTATATTTATTCTTCTCTAATTTAATAAAAACTAAAAATTCAATTGTAGTAGAGAGTCTCTTTATATGAAGCTTCAGTCATATATATTATTCAATATATTTTTATTTAGAAATGTCATTTTAATTCAGATGTTCAGCACTTACGTGAAGATAGTTATATGAGTAACTACTGAAGTACATCGTAATTATGTTCAGTAAGACTTATAGACGTAACGTGAAGTCCTTACACTAAACACAGATATGAAAACGACTGAATTTATACTTATGTACGTCGTGCTGAAATGATAACCCACCACCACTAACACCCACCACCACTAACACCCACCACCACTAACACCCTCCACCACTAACACCCTCCACCACTAACACCCACCACCACTAACACCCACCACCACTAACACCCTCCACCACCCAACACCACCACACACCTCCACCACTAACACCCACCACCACTAACACCCACCACCACTACACCCACCACCACTCACCCACCACCACCACACACCACCACCACCACACCACCACCACCACTACACCACCACCACCACCACACCACCCACCACCACCAACACCTCCACCACCACACACACCCTAACACCACTCCACCACTAACCACCCACCACCACTAACACCCACCACCACTAACACCTCCACCACTAACACACCTCCACCACAACACCTCCACCACTAACACCTCCACCACTAACACCCACCACCACTAACACCCTCCACCACTAACACCTCCACCACCACACCTAACACCTCCACCACCAACACCCACCACCACTAACACCTCCACCACCAACACCCACCACCACCAACACCCTCCACCACTAACACCTCCACCACAACACACACCACCACCAACACTCCACCACTAACACTCCACCACTAACACCCTCCACCACTCCACCACCACACCACTAACACCCACCACCACTAACACCTCCACCACTAACACCCTCCACCACTCCCACCACTAACACCACCAACACCCACCACCACACACCTCCACCACTAACACCCACCACCACTAACACCCTCCACCACACACCACACCACCACCAACACCTCCACCACTAACACCCACCACTAACACCCCACCACTAACACCTCCACCACTAACACCCTCCACCACTAACACTCCACCACAACACCTCCACCACTAACACCTCCACCACCAACACCCTCCACCACTAACACCCTCCACCACAACACCTCCACCACTACACACCCACCACACAACACCTCCACCACTCAACACCTCCACCACCAACACCTCCACCACTAACACCCACCACCTCAACACCTCCACCACTAACACCTCCACCACTAACACCCCCACCACTAACCCTCCACCACTACACCACCACCCCACCACTCCACCACTAACACCTCCACACCCTCCACCACTAACACCCACCACCACTAACACCTCCACCACTTTAACACCACCACCACTGCCCCACCACCACCACAACTACCACATCACCACCACCACCACCACCACCACCACCACCTGGCCTCCACCACTCACCTCCACCACTAACACCCACCACCACTAGGCCCCACCACCACCACAACTACCACTCATCACCACCACCACCACCACCCACCACCATTAACACCTTCCACCACTAGGTCCCACCACCACCACCACAACTACCACTCATCACCACCACCACCCACCACCCACCACCACCCAAATTCATCTTTGTGTTATTTTATATTGACCTCGGTAAACATTTGACTGGAAGGTATGTAAAGTAAAAGGTGATATAACTCAAACATAACACTTCCATTTTGCAATCAGTGAGTTTGATGAAGGACAATAAACTTTCACTGATTCAGACCAAACTCTTACACTCACACTCACACACACAAAAGAAAACTTACAGTTATACGGAACAAACACACATTGATATACAATCTTACACTCGAGAATATATTATGTATGGCGGCAGATGAATACACACATACACATCAGGACGACGTAATAAACATACACAAAATTCAGTGTTAATAAGTTAATATTTGAAGCGCAATTTGACATAAATTTGACAATAATTAATCCCACCTGAGTAATTATGTACCTGAGGCAATAATTTGTTTAAATTGTAAATAGCAACAATACTGCCACATAACATTACCTACAACCATCGATCTAATTTTTAATTGTAAGTGGACTAGTGTATTTACTTATATTATTAAGCGCTAAATGACCTCAATTGCCGAAGTACAGTACTAACATCATCATATAATCGCCCGCACCCCCACCAGTGTACCCAACACCCTAGTGAGTAAATAATATCAACCAATCAGACTCCACTTTTTGATAACTTTAAAGCCGCGTCCAATCACCGAGAAGCTAACCTGTGCGTTTTGTAGGTGAAGCCATTTAAATAAGAAAGTCAGTTTGTGTGTAAGTCAGTAAGGAACTGGACTTGGTGGCAACATAAGGATCGAGTTAACCCGTGTGTGTTGTTGGCGTGGCGTTGTATATAAGAGTGTTGGTTGACTGTGTGAGACAGTAAGCAGCGGGTCGTGGTGGTGACTCAACACACAACTCCACAAGTGTACAGTAAGTGTATTTAGCGACGAGTGTTTTTCAGTGGTGTTTACAGTGGTTGTGAGTGTTGGTGTTGAGTGAGAGTAAATGTGGTTGTTGGAGGTGGTGTCTCCCCCGTGGGTCAGCCCTTAGTGAGACACCTTTCCTGAGTGCTGCTTCATTAGTTCAGTTCTCGAATTGTATTCTTTTTGATCTCTGCAAAAAATTTAAGAGTGGAATTAAGATACGTATTTCTTGGGCCACGTTACAAGAAGTTATATTTCCTTGAAACACATTAAATTTGGACATACAGTATATTCCTGTGGCAGTACTGAGCATAGATACACATTTCCTGAACAGCGTAGAATTAAGATACATATTTCTCCGACAGTGTTTAGGTGAAGTACAGTTGACCATTACCAGGGGCACGAACCGTAAATCGATTAACATTCAGATTCTCAATTACTTCAGGTTAGACATAGGAAATGGAGTAAAGAAACTTTGCCTGTCCGGGGTGGACCAGCGTACGGCTATTAGACGCTCCTTCGGAACACTTGAGATAGGAACAGTCAGCACCAGAGTGACCAGTGACGGAAAGTTGTTTTTGTCGTGTTGCCAGAACTGAGTTGGAGTGACATCTGTTTACATGGTCCACCTTGCTTAAGAAAATTGACAATGACTCGGGAACTAAGAGTACATGTTAGATTGTTGGTCTAGTTGGTGACCTGAGATGAGGTAATTTCCCCTACCTGAACCCAAACTTAATTACCCAGTTGACCAGTCCCTCCCAAAAGACCTGTAAATTAATAAATAAACTTCTCGCCGCGGGGGAGAAACTTTCTTCAACTTTTGTTTCCACTCTAGTATATTAATCTTGGAATTTCTGTCTATGAAAGATTATTTTTTCTGAATTATCCATGTTGAAAAATGAGCTGTGTATGGTCTTGGGGAAACGGTCAATGCTGGAGATTTATTCTGTAACTTTTGACGCCTTGGCCACAAAGAATCATTGCCAACAAGGCCTCGCTCCGAAACTTTGTGTAGAATAAACCTCCAGCTCTGATCTGTGTTTTCCCACCACCTTACACAACACAGCTTTTCTCTGGATTAAGATCTAATTCTTAAAGGCTAATCATAACCGAGATTTTCTCACGTCTGTTTAGGGATAGTGTACAAATAAAATTTTGTGATTTAATTTTTTTTTTTGCATTATAAATATTGTTTTGTGGTTATAATATATAGTGACTTTTGGTATCGAGTAACTAGGGAATTAATTTTTTAAGGCTAGTAACGGCTTTGTTGTTCCTAAACCAGACTTTAAAACAAATATTTTTCCGGTATTCGGTGAATTAGGAACCGAGAAGCTAATAAAAACATGTTAATTAGAAAGAGCCTCTTAAGCAATAGACAAAAATGAGATGACACAACTTAATACAGTTTACCCTGAACCACCTTACTGTGTCTCCTTCCTTACACCTGTTTCATGTTATAACGCATTACTGTACTTTATTAACTTTTGTCTAGAACCACATATACGACTTAATTTTCTGAATCTCTCTATATGGCTGTTGACTGAGGTTCTCCAGTTTACAGATATTCTTTGTCAACGTCTAACCTTGGCTGATAATATCCCACTGCCTCTAACATATTACGATATAATATTACAATTAGTGTGAAATGCAACACTTTTTTCTTTGTCAGTATCTGCAATTACGATTCTTACTCTTCAGTGGAATAGCCAAAGCAAAACTTAAATATATCATATATTAAGAAAAATTTACATATGACTTAGAGTGTATACATGCATGTATCTTGTAGATCTACAGTGGTAACGTAGAGAAGATATATCTTGAAAAGAACTCGCAGTAAAGGGGAAACACTGGAACATCTTAGCTTTCGTCTTTATTCAAGACATCATCAGATGTCTTGAATAAAACGAAAGCTTAGGTGATCCAGTGTCTCCCTTTTCCTGTGAGCTTTTTCAAGACATGTATGTATATAAGTTCTATGTGGTAAGGCAGGACGCGTTTGCATTAGAAATACAGTATCTTGTGCATTCATACCTAGTTAGAGGAGTTTCCCTTCAATACCTGTCCTGATGTGACCAGCACAGTGTGAGGTCGGCAGGGTTAGAGAGAGTTATGGAGGC